GAGCGCCCTTTGTGGATATCACGATTGGCCAAACAAGTCACCGGATTCAGAACCCCATCGGCGCCTGACGTCTTTGGGCCGAAAAAGCCTCCGGATTCGGAGCACCCTTCGTGGATATCACGATTGGCCAAACAAGTCTCCGGATTTGGAGCCCTATCGGCGCATGACGTCTTTGAGCCGAAAAAAGCCTTAGGATTCGGAGCGCCTTCGTGGATATCACGATTGGCCAAACAAGTCTCCGGATTCGGAGCCCCATTGGCGCATGATGTCTTTGGACCGAAAAAGCCTTCGGATTCGGAGCGCCCTTCGTGGATATCACGATTGGCCAAACAAGTCTTCGGATTCAGAGCCCCATTGGCACATGATGTCTTTAGGCCTAAAAAGCTTCCGGATTCTGAGCACCCTTCGTGGATATCACGATTGGCCAGATTGTCTCCGAATTCGGAGCCCCATCGGCGCCTGACGTCTTTGGTCTGATTAAACATTCGAATTTGGAGCGCCCTTCGTGGATATCACGATTGGCCAGATAATGACTCCGGATTCGGAGCCCCATCAGCGTATGACGTCTTTGGGCCGAGTAAGCCTCTGGATTCGAGTCGATCAATGAATCAGGCCGATTAATGTCCATTCAATCATCTAAAATACGTTTATTCAAGCATTTATACAATAAAACACAGGCAAGCACGTGTGTGCCGAACAAAAATTATAACAAAACATTGAAAATAAAGTCTTTTTATTTGACCAACCAATAATTACATAATTTTAGATGCAATCCGCGTTTGAACATTACAACGAATATTTTGATGCGGCGTCTCCCTCATCATCGCTCTTTTCGACTTCAAAGGCGGAAAAGGGCAAAAGATCACGATGGTACATCGGCAACACCGAATCGACACCCTTTGCTCGGAGAAACTCCGCGGCCTGAAGTGCCGTGATCCAACCGTACTTAAAAGCCCTGATTCTCGCATCGGCAGACCTCCTCTGCAAGTTTCTCTTTCGTTTTGTCGACCCCAACCTTTCGGCCAGCATGGAAGCCTTGCTCATAACCTTTGGCCCTTGCATTTTCTACGGCAAACATGCTTGCCGTATCTCGGTGGTCGATGGCATGACTCAATAGCAGTTGGGTCACCCTCTTCTCCACAATTGGGTTAGATTGACCCGCCGCATGTGGCTCAGCGGCTTTAGCCTTCCTAAGCTTCCTAAGCTCACGCTCGGCTTTCTCCGCACGAGCCTTCGAACTGCGGATCCGTTCGTCTATTTTCTCTATCTCTCGCCGCGCGGCACGCAGACGCATGTCGACTTCGTAGGCGGTGTGCATCCCCTTCACCGCCCCATGGATACCTTCTCGAAACACTTCAAAATCTTGTCGTCCAACCATCAATTGTTAGACTTCCGATGAAAAGATCTGTCGAGCGAACTCGACCGCTACACCCGGATCATTAACGATGGAATCTGCCTCAGTCATCAATTTATTCACCACGAACACCATAAAACTCAATGGTCGTGGTGTCACGTCTGGCTCATTCCTTGGTCGTGGTCACGGGGAGCTTTCCCATTGATACTTCTCTCTTCGAGGTGATCTGCTTCGACGGCTTGGAGGTTGACGTTTTACCTTTTCCTTGGACGTCCTTCCTCCCGCGCGCGTAGGCTCGTTGTTGCGATTCATCGCAGTATCTAGCTTAGCCAGCGTTCGTCCTTCTCCTTTGCTGTTGGAAAACAGTCTGTTTGACGTTCGCCCTTGCCGCAAGCTAGCTCAAATCGAGCCTGAATAAAAATAAGCAGACTCACTAGCGCGAACTCACCCTATTTATTCGTATGTATGTAGCGCCCCTGAGGCGACGTCATTAATGCCATGCGCCAGAAGCCCGAGGCCGATAGATATATGCTGCAGCCATTTCACGAACTAGGCCTATTCGGCTAACGAAGTTCGTACACTGGCTGGGGCAAAGGTAGATTCATTAATCTGATCGGCCAAGGATTTAAGACTAATGCCAATAGATTTATGCTGCAGCCATTCTAGGAACTAGGCCTATTCGGCTAACGAAGCTCGTGCACTGGCTGGGGCAAGGGCAGATTTATTAATCTGATCGGCCAAGGATTTAAGCCCAATGCCGATAGATTTATGCCACAGCCATTCCCCGAACTAGGCCTATTCGGCTAACGAAGCTCATGCACTGGCTGGGGCAAGGGCAGATTTATTAATCTGATTGGCCAAGGATTTAAGCCCAATGCTGATAGATTTATGCCGCAGCCATTCCATGAACTAGGCCTATTCGGCTAACGAAGCTCGTACACTGGCTGGGGCAAGGATAAATTTATTAATCTGATCGGCCAAGGATTTAAGACCAAGGCCGATAGATTCGTGTCGCAGCCATTCCATGAACTAGGCCTATTCAGCTAATGAAGCTCGTACACTGGCTAGGGCAAGGTCAGATTTATTAATCTGATCGGCCAAGCATTTAAGCCCAATGCCGATAGATTTATGTCGCAGCCATTCCACGAACTAGGCCTATTCGGCTAACGAAACTCGTGCACTGGCTAGGGCAAGGGCAAGGGCAGATTTATTAATCTGATCGGGCAAGTGTTGATGCCTAATGCCGATCGATACTTGGTGTTAAAGACAGTATAGCCATCTTGCAATCAACAGAAATATCATTCATCAATAACAAAAGCTAGCACAGATAACAGCAAGGCAAAAAAAGAAGTTTTCATTAGAAAATTCGGCACAAATTGTCGCCATTTTACACATGAAAATTACCAAACAAAAAGCTGTACAAATATATTCGAAAACTCCTAGAACAACAAACAAAAAACAAAATAGCAAGCAAAAAAGGTGTGGCCGAAATTAATGCTCGAAGTCAGACTCCAGCGGCTCAATATCCACTTGCTCGTATGGAATTAGCATAGCCAATGTCACATCAACAGCAGCAACGGCTTTGAGCCAGCCGTGTTTGAATCCCCGATTTTCAAATTTGGGGACTTCGTCTATATATTCGGCCAAGGCAGCACTTTTCCCGGCCTCGAATGCCTTAGAAGCGTCTGAGTCGGCTGCGTCCTTCGCCGCCTTCACTTCCTCCAACTCAGCCTCCAGTTTGGAGACCGCCTCCTAGGCCAATTTTAGCGCCTCTTCGCTCACGTTTGCCCTCTTCTCGGCGGCCAATCTTAGTTCATCCGCATTTTGTGCCCTCTCCATCTTGACCTCGGCGCGCGCTCCTTCTATCTTTGCCCTTAAAGCCTCGAACTCGGCCTTGCTCCTCTGGCCCTCAACTTCAGTTTGAAGACAGTTGAGTTGTTCGATGGCGTCATGATGGCGACGGCCCATCTCGGCTATCCTTCCAACGGTCTGCAAAACAGGAAGTTAAGACCAAAATAGTATTTGCAGAAAGTGAAAGGACAAAGTCAAGATATATACCAAAAGTGCCGATTGCGCGGCCAATGCTATTGTAACCAGGTCCGGCTCCTCCCAGAAAGCCGCCTTGTCAACCGACAATGAAACGGACGTAGCCATGATGAGGGCGACCGCTGGATTTTCCGTTGAATAACGAAAGGCACGACCACATTCGATTCCTCTAAATGAGGTCGTTTGTCAGCGCAGTTATCTTCTGAGCAGGCCTTAGCCTCGACAGGGCGCTTCTCTGCCCTCTGTTCAGCCTCTTGATCAGCCTGCACAACCAACTCGGCCTCGGCACTTCAATTTTCTGCTGTTCCCTCAATAACAGGCAAAGAGGGCTGAGATTCGCTAACAGGTAGGGTGGGCTGAGATTCGGTGGCAGGAGGCACTCCAGCTCGAATGGCCTCTGCCCTTCGCCGTGCTGCCATCCTTTCCGCGTTCGCCTTCTTGGCAAGTTGTGTGAGGCTTAACCCAACCATATCTTCGGGGTACGCGCTGGAAAGGTCCTCTAGACCGTGAAAAATGTCGTCAAGCGGAAGATCCTCTTGGCCTGAAGTAGACGGAGGGTCGGCTGGGTTGAGACCGACTTTTTCAAAGGGTAACTTCAAAGACTTGTCGACTTCGATTTCGGACTGATCAGACTCAACAATCTTGGCTACTTCTGGCCGTTCCGAATCGGACCCCTCAAAACTGACTTGCCTCAAATTCTTAAAATCGGTCAAGATAAAGGCAGTAAGAAACTCCTTACCCTTCGGAACTGGGATGTTTTCTGCCGCCGAGAAGGTCGTATAAGTCGGCTCATAGTAGAAAAGAACGTGGGCCGCCCTCCCCTGTTTCTGAAGACTCGGCCGGCCGAAATATCTTAGCGCAACCTTGATTTCCGAGAGACTGGCATTGTCGGTTGAAGTCAGGACTTTCTTCAAATCGTTCCCTGCACAAGGAAAACCATGAGGTCTCGAAAATGAAGCTTTAAAAATATAACAAAAAAACAAATAAAAGAAGCTACACGGCCACCTGGTTCGCCCCTCCGTCTAGGAATAGGATTGAGGCGATCCTTGCCTTCGCCGAATTCCCAATTACCTTGGACAACGACCATAACATCATCGACTCGCTTCCCAGAGTTGGAAAGCATAGTCACTAGTTGATGGTCGGTGTCCTTGGCCCTAAGGAAGTAATGTCCATGCCGACCAGAAGACTTGGCCAAGGCATAACAATGCCGAATAGCAGAAATGCCGAGGTTAATCCTAAGGCGACAGTTTAGTGCGATAATCCCCATTACGATTCTAAAAAAGTTGACATTGGGTTGGGAAGAGATCAAACCCCAATGGCAAAACACAGCCCTAAGGAATGGGTGAAGGGGAAAACAGACTCCACCCTCTGCAATTGACAGGAGAGGGAAGGCAATCGTGGTTTCATCAGCCCTCTCCATATCGAGGGTGCCGTCTGTCACAAGTGACAGACGGACGTCATCAGGAATGGAGAAATGGCGTCGGAAGCCAGAGATTCGATCCGAGGAAAGGAGATCTTTTAAATGTTTTGACATTTTCTTTCAGTCTACAAGATCGAGCTAAAGCCAAAAAAAAGCAAGAGAAAAAATTCAACACGAAGAATGAGAGAACTTACAAGAGACGAAGAGGATAGTGAAGAAAAGGAAGTTACAGAGGTAATTCAGAAGGCAGTCCAGCGACGAGCGTCTAAAAGTGTGCATGTATTTGAAAAGACGTCCAAACTTTAAATCATAATAAATAGAAGTGTACGAAGGGGCGGGAAGTTGAAGTGATAACCGAGAAGCGTGTGCTTAGACATTTGCGTTGGAATGAGGTCAGCCGTCGAATTTCGGCTCTTACTTTTTGAGTCCGAATCCAAACACTCCAGCCAACTATCGTTAGTGGAGTGCTTGGGGGGCAATTGTGAGGCCCAAATATTGGGAGTTGCAAAGATGATGAATACTCAAACTCTGGGTCGAAATATAAAGCATTCGGCAAGGAGATGAAACTGGAGGAATTGATAGTGCGGGTCTTTATTGAGAAAGATAACTGCAGTTCCGACAAGAAGTGCAAGCCAAAGCGAATGTTATGGAACAAGGACAATGTTCTAAATCCAACAACAGAAATAGGAAGTATGTTGGAAAGAGTCCTAAGCAGGGCTTCCAAGAGTTGAACAACAAAAAGTTCAAAGGCAAGTGTTTTGCGTGCGGTAAAGATGGACATCGAGCGATGAATTTCCATCAACGCAAGGACAACGGAGGTTCTAGCAAGAGACTTGCACAAGCACATGTGACCGAAGTTAACAACCTTTCAGATAGGTTGGTAAACAATAGTGTTTTTGCCATTGTCCGTGAGACAAAATTATTGGGACAAGTGTGAAATTTGTACTGAGGCAAAACTTACTAAGGCATCATTCACTAAAGTAGAGAGAAGTACTGAACCTTTGAGTTTGATTCATACAGATATTTGTGATCTAAAATATGTTCAAACAAGGGGAGGTAAAAAGTATTTCATTACTTTTATTGATGATAGCAAGCGGTATTATTATGTTTACTTGCTGAAAAGTAAAAAATGAAGCCTTAGAGGCTTTCAATCAATACAACGTTGAGATTGAGAACTAACTTTGCAAGAGAATTAAGGTTGTCAGAGGTGACAGAAGTGATGCATATAATGGGCCATTTGGGAAAGTGTGTTTTCAATTCGAAATTATTCATCAAACCACTGCACCTTATTCTCCTCAATTAAATGGAGTGGTTGAGAGAAAGAACTGAACTTTAAAAGAGATGATGAATGCCATGTTGATAAGTTCGGGTTTACCCTAGAACTTGTGAGGGGAGGCAGTTCTATCAGCAAATTTTATTTTAAATAGAATACCCCACAAGAAGACAAGTCAAATACCATATGAGTTGTGGAAATATTGGAAGCCTACCTACAAAATGTGGGGGTGTTTGGCAAAAGTGGCGATCCCTAGTACAAAGATGACTAAGATTGGATCAAAAACCATTGATTGTATATTCATCGGTTATGTGAATAATAGTAGTGCATATCGATTTCGGATTTATAAATTTGAAAATCCCGATATGCATGAGAATACTATTATTGAGTCAAGGAGTGTAATGTTCTTTGAACATATATTTCTTTTCAAGACAGTTGTAGAGTCTATGACTCCGAAAGCTGAAAACATAAGTTCTATCAAGAGGACTTATGATGCTGTTATGAGTAACGGTGAAGACCAAGAACATCAAGAGTAAAATGAACCTAGACGGAGTAAGAGGGCTAGAACTTCAAAATCGTTTAGTCTTGATTTTCTAACGTATTTATTAGAAAATGAGCCTTAAAGCTTTAAGGAAGCGATATCAGGTCCTGAAGTACCTTTGTAGAAAGAGGCTGTTAATAGTGAAATTGAATCCATTATGCAAAATCATACTTGGGAATTGATTGATCTCCTTCTAGGATGTAAACCACTTGGATATAAATAGACATTCAAGAGAAAAATGAAAATAGATGGTTCAATTGACAAGTATAAAACGAGACTTGCAGTCAAGGGATATCGGCAAAAGATTATTTTGAGATATATTCCCTTGTTACAAGAATAACATCCATTCGCATGCTAATAGCAATTGCGACGTTGTATAATTATGAGATACATCAAATGGTTGTTAAGACAATTTTCTTAGATGGCAACTTAGATGAAAAGATCTATATTGAACAACCCGAGGGGTTTGTAGTTCCAAGACAAGAGAAGAAAGTCTGTAAGCATGTAAAATCTCTTTATGGGTTGAAACAAGCGCCAAAGCAATGGCATGAGAAATTTGATGAAGCCATGATTTCGGATGAGTTTAAGATCAACGAATGTGACAAGTGTGTCTATATGAAAAAATAAAAAGAGACTATGCCATAATTTATCTTTATGATGATATATTTTATTATTGGGAGTAATAATGACATGATAAAGTCCACAAAAAAGATGTTAAACAAAAGGTTTGACAGGAAGAACTTAAGAGTTGCAGATGTAATTCTTGGAATGAAAATTACAAAAAACTCCTAACAAATATGCTTTATCTCGGTCTCACTATATTGAGAAGATTTTGAAAAAATTTGGTAAGCATGACAATCGTCTTGCCAAAACACCAGTTGAGATTGGACTTCATTTATTGAAAAAACAGGTGAAAGTATATCACAATTAGAGTACTCTCATATTATTGAAAGCTTGATGTCCTAAGCAAGTTGAGTAGGTATACAAGTAATCTATGGAAAGAGCACTAGCAAGCTATAGTGAGGGAGCTTAGATATCTAAGACAAACCAAAAGATATGGCTTATAGTATAGTTGATATCTAGCAGTACTAGAAGGGTATAGTGATGCAAATAGGATACTGGATATGAAAGACTAAAAATCCATGAGTGGATATGTCTTTACCTTGGGAGGCGATGCAATCTCTTGGAAATTATCCAAGCAAACATGCATAGAAAAGTCTATAGTAGAATTTGAGTTTATTGTGTTGGATAAAACTAGAGAAGAAGTAGAGTGGCTTCGAAATGTCTTAGAAGTGATTCTAAGGTGTCTTAAAATTGTGCTAACTATATGCTTTCACTGTAATAGTGAAGCAAAAATAGGATGGGCACAAAGTGTGATGTATAACGGAAAGTCTAGATATATTCGTTGAAGACACAATACCGTTAGACAATTGCTTTCACATGGAATTATTTTCATTGAGTGTATAAAGTTAGAGGATCCATCGACTAAAAGGTTAGCCATAAAGCAGTTGTATTATTTATCATTTAAGCCTATTATTTAAAGTCACCATAATGACAACCCAACTTAGTTGACTGGAGATCCAAATATCTAAGTTCAAAGGGACAACCGAATTATAGATGACTCCCATATCACTAAAGGAGATTATCTTTTACCTGGAGATTATCTCCTACCCATTTTCATGATGAGAAAAGTGATACCTGTAGCGTTTGTATGGTGAGCTTTGCTCTTAATGACTCTTATAACTGGAATATTCAAGTTGGGGTATAACAAGATACTCTTTATAAGCGAGGTCACCTATATAAGTGTGAACTAGGCTAGTTCTATGAGAATTCATAAGGCTAAATTCTCTAGAGCACTCATGAATACTAGGCATTGTTCAGGGCCATAATGAACACAACCGTGAGAACCAAGCTATGTTGGTGATACACTGTGTGTAGTCTATTGTCTTGGCATACACAAATAGATGAACAGTTCAAGGCATCGCGTTTACTGGTTAGTTAGTATGTCTGATAGGCTTTTCACTAGGGAAGGTTCAAAGCCAAAAACTACCTATCTCGATGCGGTGTGTTACCTTTATGTATTCTATCTTAGTGTGCATGTTATTGCATGTCTGTCGTCGTCAATTCCATTCATATGGGGGATCGTTGGAAAACTGGTTTGTGAAACCATGTGTTTTAGCTCACTTTGAGCCTAAATTGAGATGGGCTCCAGACACCGATTGAGGTGTGTCTAGGTGGAAACGCATTCTTTGCTAGGTGGTGATTCATTTCGTATATATGGTTGTTCAAACCATTTTCTGAGTGAATGCAAAATTGACTCCAAAAAAGGCTTTGGTAACACAGTAGTTGAACAAATTAAAATTTGAATTCGTCTTTAGTTTCGTCCAGAAACTCCAAAGTGATCTAATTGAAATTCAATTTCAATTGTGATTTGGATTCTCTCTTCTTCTTGAGAATTCTAGTTGGAGGTTTGATCTGTTATAGGCAAAATTCTGGTAACTTCATTGCCGAAATTTGTACAGGACACTGTGTTTCTCACCGCGTTTCCAATGACTTTGAGAAGTCAGATCGTCGAAATTAGAATAGATTTGAGGCTGTTCACACAACCATCTCAAGTATATAAATACCCCACTCTTCCTAAGTTGTTGTAGAGAAGAAAATTCATATCAAATTACAATCTAAATTACAGTCATGGTCGCGTTGATTTTTTCAAAATTTTTACTCTGTTTTCTTCATCGTTGTTCATTTCAGAGTCTTTGAGTCAGAGAGAGTGCAACACAAGTTTGATTCGCTATATCTGAAATCGTTGTGTTGCTGTCTTGGTTTTTAATTGTTGTATCTTGGGAGGTTGGCTGAGCTCCTCGATAGGGGAAAATTAAACCTTAAGGAAATTGTGTCCAACACAAGCCTCGATGGTATTGTATTGTTTTGTGTTACAATTTCCGATTTATTATTAAGCATAATCTTCTTGCATAATTGTTTGTTTGAAGTATCATTGTGTTTTGTTGCTTTGTTTCTCTTAGAAAAATAATATTTCCTCACCTAGTCATCCGGGACGACCGCCTCTATGAAATTTTTGTTTTGCTTTGCTTAGTTGCAAGTCAATTCCAATAATCTTATTTATACTTATGCTCAATTTGTAATAACTTCCCAACATTCTCTAATTCATCTCTTCCAAATATAAAGATGTTCATAAAAAATATAAAAAGAACTTGTCAAACGCGGTCTGTGTATTTATTTATTATTATTATTTTTTGATTCACCGCGGACAACGGTCTAGTGTAGTCACCTATGTTGACATAACGGTTTACTATACATAATTTAATATTTTCTTAATTTTTTAAGGATAAGAGTTTGTAAGAAAAAAGATTGGCTTCCTTTCAGTTTAATTTTTGAAATGAGTTTTAAGTTTTGAGTTATGTTTTAAAAGATTAATTTTTAAAATCAATTTCGAAAAGAAAAACTTGTTTGGTTATGAGTTTTGAAAATAATTTTGAATTGCATTTTGAAATTTTTTAGGATTTTTTTTAAGGTCTCTAATATTACAATTTTAGAAGATAAAAGACATCCCAAACTTTCATACTACCTTAGGTCCCTCAAAAATATGCACCTCTTCCCTCCAAAATTATTGAACCAAAATATCCTTGCGTTTTATAAATTATTGAACCAAAATATCCTTGCATTTTATAATCAATTTAATGTCTTTCACTCTTTGAAAATTTTGAAAACTTAAAAATTCAGTAACTTTCGATTTACATGTTCATTTTTAACAAAAATTATATTTCATTTTTAACAAAAATTATATTTTTAGAATTCCCTCGTTGAGATCTATCAAACAAGATGAATGATGAAATATGAAATTCGGGAAAAAAAATTGACAAAATATTTCATCATTTGACTACATTTGTTTGATAGTCAAAAAAATTTACTTTCATGTTTCCGAATTTCACATTTGACTACATTTGTAAAGAAAGTTTAGAGAAAGTCAAATGTGTTAGAGAAAATCAATATGAAAGTAAATTTCTTTTATAGAAAAATTTTCAGAGAAAGCCAAATGTGTTAGAGAAAATCAACATGTAAGTGAAAATCCACATGAAAATTTCTCTTACATCTGTAAAGAAATTCAAATGTGTTAGAGAAAATCAATATGAAAGTAAATTTCTCTTACATTTGTAGAGAAATTTCAGATAAAGCCAAATGTGTTAGAGAAAATCAATATACAAGTAAATTTCTTTGACTACATTTACAAAGAAATTTTAGAGAAAGTCAAATGCGTTAGAAAATATCAACATGCAAGTAAATTTCTCTGACTACATTTGCAGAGAAATTTTACATGCAAGTCAGATTGCAAGTGTATGATGGCTAAAAAAGATCAACATGATAGAGAAATTTTAGAAAAAAATCAAATATGCCAGAGAAATAAACATGCAAGTGTGTAATGTGTCTAGTGAAATCCAAATACACAAGAGAGTAAATTTATCTGACTACATTTGCAAAGAAATTTTATATGTAAGTCAGGGAAATTTCATATGAGCAATAGAGTATTAAGTGTGTAAAGTGTACAGTGACAAGAGAAACATCTCAAAGAAATTTCAAACACAAATCTAGTTTGTATAATTCAATTGATACATACACCAATACTATTCCTAACCGAGAAAAAAATAGTTATTTCATAAAAAATTAATTATTTAAATTGATTGATTCTGCACACAAAAAAAAAAAAAAAAAAAAACTTAAATTATTTGAATCACAAACAATTCTAAATTTTATTAAAAAAATTAATTAAATCAATCAATCAAAATAATTTGATATTAAAAATTATTATTGAATCATATGAATCCTCAAAGATTTCTTGACGCTGTGTTTAGTTGAGGGATTTGAAGAGGGATTTAAAAAGGAAAAGGGAAAAAGTGTGTGAAACTAGGTGAAATGTAAGTATATTTTATTCATATTTCAGCTAATTTTTTCTCTTTTTTTTTTTTTCCAAATCCCTCCTCAAATCTTCCAACAAAACACAACATGAGATTCCTAACATGAATCTTAAAATAAGGCTTCATATTGGAATGTGAGTTAGCTTTTTAGTTTTTTGACTTTTCGACTATTTTATCATGGGCCTAAAATAGCCTCATTTGGAATAGGTATTTTGTCTTTTTTTTTATTTTCGTGAGAGAAAAAATAAAATAATTATGATTTAAATGTAACAAATTTTAGCCTGAGAATAAAAGATTTATTTTATTTTTTAGGGACTATTTTAATCTCAACCCATTCTAACCCAAATGCCAAACCAAGACTATGAAACTCCCAAACCCAATTATTATTATTATATTAAAAAAGGACACTATAAGTAAAATATTTATTTTCGCCTGATGGCCAAGTAATTATTAATTAAATCAAAACTACGCCAGCTAGAAATGTTGGCATTACGCGCATCACCAACCCAAAGGCCCATTTTGGAACATTGGTTCAACATTTAAAAATCAGTAGTCAATTTTTAATTTATTTTTTAGGAAAAATTACTCATAAATCCCATTTTGATAAATGTTGCTCTAGTTAGTCCTAAGTGTTTTTTCTTAAACCATTTAATCCTTTTTATTTTTTGTATTGATATATTGTATAGAGAGTTTACATTTTTACCCACCATTGAACAAACATCATCAAAACATTGAGAACATCAACATCATCAAACATCACCATTGAACAGCATCCAAACCCTTGCCTCGCTGCGGCGGCCGCCACCAAGACCAAGAAGAAGAAGCCCCAAGCCATACCTCTCTCCGAGTTCGCCAAACCGGCTCAGACCACCCAAACCAGAGGCCTCACCGCCGAAGATCTCATGTCGTTGCTGACTGGTCCGTACCAGAGAACCACCGAGGAGCTCGACCGGTCCAAGCTCAGTGGTGGATTCAGATCGTACGGTTACGATAGGAATAGAGGCGAGGATGGTTCGAATTCTAGGTGAGGGGTCTTCTAGGGTTTCGGATGAGTCGCGTCAACAAGGAGGATGAGGGTTTAATAGGGATTCGAGTAAAGAATTAGCGCCTTCTCGTGCCGATGATGTCGATGATTGGGGGTCTACGAAGAGGTCTGCTTCTAGTAATGGATTTGAGAGGAGAGGAGAGAGAGGGGAGAGAGGGGGGTTTTTCGGGTTCGATTCTAGAGCTAATGAATCTGATAGTTGGGTTTTGAATAAGAGCTTTGTTCCTTCTGAAGGACGGAGATTTGAGAATCAGAGGGAGAGAAGAGTTGGTTTCGAGTCAAATGGCGGCGCAGATTTGGAGAATTGGTTGAAGAAGAAGGACGTTGATGATGTTTTTGATGATGTTCATAAGGGTTTAATATATATTTTTGATGATGTTCATAACGTCACTATATATATATTTCTTATATTTTTTCGTAAGGGTTTAATACGGACGTTGATTCGAGTAAAGTTTTTATATTTATTGTTGCGGAGTAAAGTTGTCAAAACAATGGGTGATAATTTGAAGGACATTGATGATGTTTTTGATGATGTTGAAGATGTAGTTGATGTTGCGAATGTTTGATGATGGTTAAATATGTAGTTGATGTTGATGATGTTCACAAGTTTGATGATGTCGTTGATGTTCTCAATGTTTGATGATGTTTTTTGATGTTTGATGTTTGTTGATGCTTGATGATGTTGATGTTCTCAGTGTTTTGATGATGTTGTTTTGATAATGTTTGATGATGTTTTTATGATGTTGCTGTTTTTTAATGATGCTTTTTTAGTAATGTTGGTGATGTAGTTGATGTTGTTGATGGTGATGATGTAGTTGATGTTGCTGATGTTCGGAAAGGAGGGAAATCTAAAAAAGGCCTATAGTAAGCTTCTTGGGCAATTCGGTAAATTACACATAAACACCAACCCAAAATTACCTCCTCAATTACTGACCCAGACACGTAAAAAAATGGGTACTAATGTCTTTACACATAAAATAGGACCTATTAGTCCAACAAAAAAACGTCGGGACTAAATGGATTAACATTCCCAAATTAGGGATTTAATGGTGCTTTCCCCCTTTTAAGTCATATTACTTTTCACATAAACAATTATTTTTTTTTTTTAAAAAGTCACCCCAAAGGCCTGTTTCAAAATCTTTTTCTTAAAACTCATTTTATTTAATTTTCTCTTTTTTTAAGACACATAATTTTTTAGTGTTTATATTTGTTAAATTAATTTGTAATTTTTTTAAAAAAATTCAAGAACTTATTTTGAAAATAGAAAATATTTGAAACGCCAGAAAGTTCCCACAATCATAAATGATGATAATAAATAAATAAAATCCCTCCAATTTTGCAAATTTTGTTGATGTTCAAGAAACCCCACCCCCCCCCCCCCCCCCCCCCAAAAAAAAAAAAAGTTGAAGATGTTTGAGATTCTAATAACAAGTGAGCTAATCTGGTAACAAATGAAGGTTTCAATGGTTTTAATTTTTTTTTTCTTCCACTTCGTACTGTATTTTCTTTCAATTAAATGAAGATCAAGTATCTGAATCCACACAAACTAATAAACAAAGAGTCGAGCCGATTGATAGAAGTTGGTAAATGGCCTTGTGCCTGCGGGAGCCGCTACGTGGCCTAATTGGAGTGCAAGGAGGAAAACCCGCCAGTAGTACGCATCAATACTTTTTGGCTATTTTGGCTAATGTTGTTTAGCAGTATTGACGCACACACGAGTAAAAAATAGAAAGGGCAGTACATCCGTGCATCCATAGAAAGAGGAGCAGAGTGATGCGAGCAAAAGCTATATAAACGGTGCTGCGCCTAAATGCACAGGTCTGAAACTTTTGGTTATCAGAGCTACCTATCTTTTTGTCTCCTCTCTCTCTTTCTTCCTCTTTGTGTGCTAACTTGATCATTGGAGGGGTTTTCCGGCTACACACCGCCGAGTAGCTCACCGTCTTTGTGTTCTCAGGTTATTCGGAAAGAAGCAAAGCTTGGACACGAGGAGTACAGAAGGTGAAGAATATTTCCTCTCCGTACAGTGTCCTTGAAAACTGACTTTGAACAATTAGACGAACAATCTTTACAAAAAAAACCCCAAGTTCAAAATCTTGATAGACAACATTCTTTGCTTGAAAATGGCGACAGTTCGATTGCTTATTTTCTTCACAGCTAGCTACCCTCCTTGTGAATCACCATGACTACTTCCTCAATATCAAATGTGCACGCATGCATACACAAATAGAATGCTTCCTTCGTTACATTATCTAATACAGCAACAATGCAGTACCTATTCTCCACCAGATAAGTAATAATACCTATGGTTCTATTCCCCTTGCTGGGAATCGTGTTGATCAAGCCCTCCACGGGAAGTAATTCTAAATACCCACCTTCATAATAAAAAAAGGTCATCATATCCTTCATCTGGAATTACATACTCTTTATTCATTGCTAAATCGTGTACATAAATATTTTTTGGAAACCTACATTGCAATGTGCACCGAAACAACTTACTATTAACAACATCAGCAAAATTAAACCAAGAACCCCAACAACAATATCTAAGATTATCAACAACAATCATACATTTCGTGGGTGTTTGGGAAGTTGACTATTTTAGTTTTTAGCTATTTTAATAGGCTAAAATAGTTATGTCTGAAAAGATAATTAGATTTTTTTTTGTAATTGAATGTGATATTTGTTAGGAAAAAAAAATTATTATGGATTTAGACCTCGTTTGGCAACATGCCGGTTTAGCCAAAAAGCCAAAAAGTTATTAAAAAAGCCAAAAAGCCAACAACCCATACCAAAAAGTCAAAGATTCTCTTTTCTCTCTACTTTTTGCATATTTTTTTTCGTAAAAAGCCAAAAATTCATCCCAAACATACTAGTTTTTTTAGCTCATATTTTAGTCAAATAGCCAAAAAGTTACTAAATTAGCTTGTTCCCAAATGAGGCCTAATGTGAAATTTTATCTTATTGCCTATTTTAGATTATTTTGTTTTTTAGTGCAATTTTTTCCCTCCCTCCCCCACCCCCCCCAAAAAAAAAAACAAATTTTTTTTCTTCCCAATCCCTAAATTTACTTTTATACTTAGCAATATCTGAGATTATCAACAACAATTATACATTCAATAAGTACTCAAAGCCCGGTCCTAGATCTCGATTCCCAAATTTTCTTTTACACATTTCAAGATCAACAACCCCTGCTAGGGCATATATCTTTCCATATACAGTTACCACTAGGGGATTAGGCTTCCATGCCTTTAGCTTAGGACCACCATGCCAGTCGCCGCCGCTTCTGGTGCTGGTGTGGCGATGGGAGAGTTAGGAGACTAGGACGGCTCTTGGCTCCTCTGTTGCTGTCTCACCGAATAGAAATAGTAAGGAGGCGATTGAGGCAAAAGGCAGTGAACGATTGGTTAGAGGATTGAAAACTATTAGGTGATTGATTGTGATTGGTGAGCGATCTCGATATTGAACTTGACTAGTATCGATATCAATGGTAAAAAATTTGATACTTGATCGAGTCTAAGTTTCTTCATATACACGCACAAAGTATCATTGTGGTCAATTCTTCATCATCATCATTATCATCGTCGTTACTGGCACTACAAGAAATTGCACTTTTGGCGACTAAATTTTTAATCACCAAAAGTAAGGTTTTTAGTTACTGAAATATTTTCCCAACTAAATAGTTTGATCGCTTGATTTGTCGCGGGAAGATTGTCGGGGAAGGTATTGGTGACTAAAAACTATTTAGTCACCAAAAGATCTATAAATGGCGACTAATGTTTTAGTAGGTAAAAGTAAAAGGTATTGGCAACAAAATAAACTTTAGTCCCTGATGAGGCTAAATTGGCGACTAATCTGTTAGTCACTCAAAGCTACTAATTTAATTTAAATCACATTTTCAACTACTAAAATTTTTTGTCGTCAAAACTTCTATGTATCTAAGGCGACCAAAGTTTTAGTCGCCAATAGTTTTTCTTGTGCATCTACATTGTTTTAGCTACTAAATGTTTAGTTGCCTAAAGTCTGATTTGTTGTTTAGCTAATACACAGGTTAGTCGGCTAAAATCTAAATTTTTTTAGCTACCAAAGGTTTTGTCGCGTATAATATAATTGTTATGTTTTGGCGACTAAATATTTAGTCTCCAAAAGTATTTTTCTTTTTTTTGCTACTAAATAATTAGTTGCCTAAACTGTTTTTAATTCTTTTTTGGCTACTAAATTTTTAGTCACTAAAAATATTTAACTCCATTTTTGGCTACCAATTGTTTTGTCACCAAAAACATCATTTTATGTTTTTATTTTTTTTTCATTTTAATTAATTTGTCCACAATCTGTATGTATCCACCACAACCTGTAATAGGTATACAAACAAAACAATATGTATATATTATCACCATTCCATAACGCATATTGCACTTACAACCATCAAACAAAAAAGAATACATTTTAATGTAAACTTATATACAAACCAACTATATATATATATTCCAATTAGAAATAATAACACCATACATAACAAATAAGCTTACCAAAGCAATGTCCTCCGTACATAAAAATATTTTTACTACTATGCATTGTAATGACCATTTGACATGGTACAAATTACCATGGTAATATGTACCACGACAAAAGGTAATCTCTATACCACGACAATAAATATAAGTTCCATGTCAAAAGTATTATGTATCCCGCTGAGGGGGAGATTTCATAATCTGGCTCTGGGCCGTGGTAATGACTGGGCCAAATTGGACCCAACATGTTTGGGTCGAGCTAGTTTGGGCCAATCTAGGGGAGTGCGCTCGGTTAAAGCCCTGGTCTGATTTGGCCAGGATAATTTCGGACTGCCAGCCCAGTTCACATTATTTGCTCACTGAGTTAGGCGGGTAAGATCCTCTATGGACTAACTGAGCAAGAGCTCGGTCATAACGGAGGGCGGCTAAGCTCGGTTGTAACGGAGCTCGGTTTGGGGCGTTGCATGTCTCAGAAGTAATGTGGTCGTAGAAAGATGGGGTAGCACCGTGCTGTCTATTCGCGCCAACGCCGTTTGGTAGTTTTATTAGGTGGTGTTTAGCTGTATTTGCGCTGACACGTGGGAAAGTGGGATAGGAGAGCAGGTCCACGCGTCAAAAGGCGAATAGACACAGAGGCACACGTAGAAGGTATATAAACATGACTGCGCCCCCCATGCTGGGGATGGAATATCCTCTGGTGAGACAAAAACTACTACATTGTCTCCCATCTCTCTTCTCTCTCTCTCTCTCTCTTTAAGTGTGTGCTGACTTGACCGTCGGAGGGGTTTTTCGGCAGCGCACCACCGAGTAGCTCACCTTTGTTGTGTTCTTAGGTCGATCAGAGGAAGGCGTAGCTTGGGCACAAGGAGTACGGATAACGTTGGATATTTTGCTCCCGTACCATTGGCGCCGTCTGTGGGAACTCGAAACAGACATAACCTTGTCCTCCAAGCTCATCAGATCACCTTTCATGGCGAACAATGACGAAGTACCATTGTCTGCCATCGACGATATTACCCTAGAGTCATTCTGACAGAGAGACAGACTTCCCGCCA